GTCGTAGAACAGCAGCTTAAGCGTGATATCAAGGAGAGCTTACGTCTGATTTATTATACGACAAGCACAACATTTTAATGATTTATTGTCTCAGTCAAGTTTCAGGTCATCAGCTTCCAGGCAACAATCTGTTATGGGTACAACGCCGAAGCTGTCAATGCACCAGCGATAATCTTATCTACCCCTCACAGCCCCGAACCGTGATGCGCAGAAAAATAACCCCCAAAAATCGGAAAACGAGGGCAATATTTTATTCAAATGAAACTACGGTTAGCAAAACAAACAAGCACTTGGCGGCACGTAGCTCAAAGACAATTAATCAGAGCTATCCTTTTAAAACATATTATTCAGCTTTGAGTGTTGTGTGATGCGGGCGCCGATAGGAGCGGTTCACCTTGGGAAATCTGAGTCACTTGCACACAAACAAGCTGCATTAATGAAGAGCAGAAGCCATTACCTCTGCGTTGCATTTGATTTCATGACACGCGCTCCTCGAAAACCTCAATAAGGATTACTAGATATGAATGAGAGAAGTCAGTCATTCCAACAATCAAAGCCAAACCACCTTTAATGTTTGCACTTGTTGGTTGTATATCACACAGCTCTGCATACAAGGAACACTCCTGTCTCTTTTCATTACATTCTGAAGTCATCCACGAATCAAAACAAAGATATAATTAAGACTTTTGAACACAAACAATCCATTCATCTTTTCAGTTTCGGCCTGTTTTTTTGTTGTTGGTTTAGAGCAGCTCGTCAGATTTGGGCAAAACTTTTTTGTGAGATTTGACGCACAAACAAGAGATGATAGCATACACCTAGTCACTAGGTTTTGTGGTAACACTTTATTATAACTACACCTTATTTAGGCTTAATAAATGTTTAAATAACACTTAATTAATCATGAACAATTCATTGATTAAGTGTGATTAACACTTAATAACTACTTCAGTTAATAAATGCTTAACCCATAATGAATATATAAGTACTTGTTCTTGATTATTTAATCATTTAATAATTATGAAGTAACCATTTGTTGCTACATATATAGATGGTTTGTTACACCATGATTAAACCAAATGTTAATGATTAATAATTGTATACTTGATTATAAACTAACACTGCAGTGCACGATTTATTCAGTCAGTTACTAACAGTTAGTTAAGAGTTTTTGTGAGCTTTTGTAAACACTTTATTACACATTTGTTGAAGACCCTTTAGTGTGACAATTAATGATTTATTAATACTGCAATGCATGACTTATTAGTCAGTAACTAACATTTAGTTAAGAGTTTTTGTGAGAAAAAACACAAGGATGACTAATGTTTTCGTCTAACAACAATAAGCCATGAGACATGAATACAGAATATATACAGTATGTATCGTTTAAATTGCTTTACAAAGCTATAACAGGCCCATAACAATTTACAAAATAGGCCTCCAAATTGGCCCCATGAATTAAATACACATCTTTGCAAAGCATGCACAAACATATATCAACATTAAAAATAAAATTCAAGTAAAGCAGGAAGAGCACTGTGAAGAATGGAGAGGAGATGTTTTCTGTTTCCTTAGCCCCACATAATTGCACACTCAACAACAATACAACATGCAAACTGTGATTCTCTGACCGGAGTCTGTGTCCCCAACCATAAAACAACCTCTCCATTCTTCACAGTTAAATCATTATTAAGCCTAAATAAGGTGTAGTTATTATAAAGTGTTACCGGTTTGGTGTGAAAAGGGAAAAAAAAATAATAGTTTTTAGGCTTTTCATTGCCCTAAAGATGATGTCTGCAACTTCAAATCTATTCAATTTAGAAAAAAACTACATAATTTGGCCTAAATTAGGTATTTTTCAACACTGTACTTTTCAACGTACATTTATAACAGTCCCTCCTCTTGGCATGACCACCACCAGTAAGATTTGCTGGAGCAGAATAGTTAGACCAAGGGTGAGGAGCCTCATGTGTCCATCAAGGATATAAATTAAATGCGGGGGCTGGTCCAACTGGTGCTTGCGTTAAAAAACGTCTTTCTTCATTTCAATTTGAGAACCCCCCCTGATCTTGAAATATAAGTTTTTTACTAACTTGTAATTGATGGAACTCAAGATTTTAAGGCAGCCTTTGGAATGACGTTTTGGAGCTGGCTGAGCCATTCCAATTTACAGTGACAGTTAGTCTATCCTCAAGAAATACATCTTTCAGAAATCAACCACATTTATAATGTTTGTTAATCTTTTTCAAAGCTCATGTAAACCATTTGCACATATTTTCCTCTGTGTCACAAAGAAACAGCAGTGCTTCATTCCGGTACTGCCACCGACTACACACATACCTCATCAGGTCATATGATTAAAAACAAGTTTAAAATCCTACATTGTGTGTGAGTGGCCTGGTTCACAGTGCTGCTATACTGTGTCCTTGGTCGAACGAGTCAAGGACAAAGGTGACGTCCCTCCAGCTTCGTCACGTGGTCATTATTGGGCTTGAGTTTTCCAGGGCCACCTCTCATACGTAGTGTAGTGACATGGCAGCTGAGGCAAAGGTCAAGCCCATATATCTGCGGGCTCTGTCACAAAGACTCAGGCCATTATTTTGCTCTACAAACTATGTCAGCCTCTGAAATTCAGACTTCAGAATACATTTTTATTTAGTTAGAGAAAGCTGTACGGCGACAAATGTTGATAGTTCACTGAGTTCAGAGGCCGGGATTGGATAGTTCTTTTGGAGTTGCTGCAGCTCAATTGAAAATGTATTTTTTATGCATAAGATAAGATAAGTATTCCTTTATTCGTCCCACAGTGGGGAAATTTCAATGTTGCATCGCACATATAGGACAGTAGTTAGAGCACACAGGGAGCACACACAATATATACAAAATTAGTAGTAGCTATGTTTCTTAGCTAACATAACTAGCTGTAGATGCTGAAAATGCTTCAATACCAGTAAAAATAAATAAAATATATATATATATATATATATATATATATATATATATATATATATATATATATATATATATATATATGTAGTAGTAGTGCAGAGTTATATACTGTACAGTTATATAGTGCAGGATAATAAGTAGATAAGGTAAAGTGACATTCTGAAGTTGCAGTATTGCACATGATTTAAGAATATACTTATGCAGCCTCGCGGAAATTCAATTTGGAAGACGTCAGCCAAAGCCACCCCTTCCAGGCTGGCCTCGCAGCCCCAGCCTATTGCACAGCAAACGCCCATTTCCAACCAACCTACGCCAGCCAGGCCAGCCGCTTAAAAGCGGAGAAACTCCCACTTTACGGCCTTCTCGAAGCCTTGCAAACCACCGCCTCCCCTCCTCCTCCTTTTTCTCACCCTGCCTCAATCATGCCTTTTCCTGCTGCCCAAATGCCGCCACCAGTGCCTAGGTCCCGGGGGATTGTGCGCGCACTCTCGCGGGAGCCTCGCTGACTGAACGCCGCACCGGGGCCTAGGGCGCCAAACTACCTTCAATAAAATACTTCAAATGCATTTTGTCTCCTCGTCTCTCCAGATTGAAATTTACAGATGAATGAAGTTTACAGGCTCAGCAGTTCTTATTGTACAGTCTGACAGCAGCAGGAAGGAAAGACCTACGGAACCTCTCCTTCACACAGCGAGGGTGAATTAGTCTGTCACTGAAACTGCTCTCCAGAGCAGAGAGAGAGAGCATATATTTACGCTTTGAAAAAATACAATGTTTCAGACAGAAAGAAAACCTGTTTCAAATGTTTGACAAAGATTATATTTTTTTGTTTTACTTAAGTGTAACATATGATTTATTCGGAAGTATTGTCTGAGTAAATGGTGTCTAAAAATGTGTATATGCGTTTGAATTGTTGAAACACCAATTTGCCAGGGGGTCTACAGATGGAAATAAATAGATGAATACAAATAAATAAAAAATGTTCTGTGAAGTTGATTTGCTTACATAACTTGGAGTTATTATTTAAACCCTTTCTGCACCTACATTTAAAAGACTGAAGTGATTGAAGGAAGGGAAATTAAAAGTACAAATAGCACATCCTGCTGCATGCAGAGTTCAGACTCCCAATTACTAAGCGTTGAATGTGGTCACAGGCCTCTGTTATCCCGGACACTCCACAGAGCAGTGAGCTGCTGACATGAATTGCTAGTGCATTACTCTACTGATAAAGGTGAAATGTTTCAAAAGGAGAAGAGGGCATTTTACCCCCTGGTGTGTTTTAATTATGTGGAATGCACTGTTTCTTGCTGCAAGCTGAAGGGAGATCAAATTGAGGACTGAGCGGGAGGTGTAGGTGGGATGAGACATTGTGGGACGTCTAATTTTGGTGTGTCTCCAGGTGCTTTGAAGAAAAGGCTGAGATAGAGTCATTATCTTGACTTGAGCTTTAGTCTATTCATCTGCAAGTGCTGTTGCTGCACCCGACATCTGCCCCAATGTCTGGTCCTTAGTGGTTTTAAATGTGCAAATTCCATTTTGAATCCATTCGTCTTTAATATATTTCGGCTTCAGAATTTCCTCAGAGTCAAGGATAATTAATCATACTGAGCAGTATGGCGTTCACATCTAACACCAAAACATGCCACATGGCCTTCCTATTCATCTTAAGTGCTTTGATAATTAAAGAATTATTACTAAATGTAACCTATCTGTGACCTTGAATATGCTCCTTTGTAGCGTCCGCTGCGCAGCGCCTCAGAAAAAGATGAGAGAAAGACACTAACGGATGCTGTAGGCATAAGCCTTTGAAAGGCTGGATATTCCTCTCAATTAATGGTGAGACATTAAGGGAGTCTTCAATGAACTGGCCTTACTTAAACAGATATATAGAGCAATTGCCGTGCCCTCCGGTGCACAAAGTCAGTTTTAACATCAATTAGTGAGCGATTTCTATGCAGAGAGAGTGGAGGCTGAGCGGAGGCATATGGGAGGGACTTCTAACTGCCTGTTGTATGCTGCAGCAGAATGAGCCAAGCACATGGAGCGCTTACATAGTCGTTTACAGGAGCATGGTTCTCGACATCACGGGCCACCCGCTCTCCAATCACCTCTGCATCAGGGGTGTCCACCTCCAGGGACTCCGCATCTGAACAAAAAAACCAGAGACTTGTTTGGAGGGCTCACCAGATAGTTCATTATGGTAAAATTGATAAAACATCAGATAGAAGATTATCAGGAGCTGACCCTAATTACCTTGATAAAGGATGTCAAAGTCACAACTGTGATTTAAACTAATGTTCTGCAGCAAATGTAAACCACTGGCTGCCCATCAGTCTTTAGCAGAGCCATGGCTGAAGCCAGGGCGGCCAGTCCCACTGGGTCCAGTTATAACCCGCAGGAATGCCCTCCAGCGCTGTGTTAATGGGCAGCAGTGCCCCCTGCTCTTACCATTTAGAGGGGTAGGGTGGATCCAGTGGATGGGCAGCTCCTGGCAAATCTCCCAGATCTTAGAGTCGAAGAGGAAGGCTGGGTTAATGATGGGTTCCTCGGCAGGGACCCAGACTCTGGAGTCCTGCACCAACTTCACATGTGTTCCATCGGCTGGTGTCTGAAACATACCTCAGCTCAGTCACATGTCACAGCCAGGTCTCCTCACATGGTTTTATCTGTCAACTGTGTCCAGAGGGTCCTGACTCAAGGCCTCACCCCTCCTTCTGCCAGCAGCACACTCCTTCTATTATACATCATTGAATTTCAGAGAAAGTGAGGATTTGACTTTTAAATGACTTTAAAAGTGGTCTTCATTGCTCAGAGTGTGGCAGCAATATAATTTAATGTGACAGACACAATGAAGCTGTACATCCCCCTCTCCTTCTCCCCTTCACACTCCCACTCTAACACCTCAATGATCTGCTTGGCACCCAGCACGATCACCAGGCATAATTTGTTGATATTGCTGTCCATGAGCTGCAGAGTATACGATTATTGCTTAATGATGGGGCCTACATGTCAATGTTGTCTAATAGAGACACATGAAGACACTTTGCATATGCTCTGCCATAACAGTGGTGTATTTATTTTTCATCATGAGCATGTAAATATGAGCACACAAACAAAGCCCTCGTCCCATTCCCTCTGTTAATTAGCAGCCCTGAACTGAAAATACAGTTCACTTGACTAATGTTTGTACAAGGTGATTTTCTCCCAGTCTAAGGCTTAATTGCACATTAGTTAAGCTTGACGTAGAATCCTGGGGCTATAGAGGAGTCAGATTAATTTACATTAAGTTGTGCTCTTTGCTTCTCAATGAATGCCACCATTTTAAATGGAAGTAGAAAAAGCAGGATGCCTTCCACAATACTGTTATATAATAAATATATTTTCTGTGTAATGACAAATAGGACATTGATACAATAAATATTAGGGTGTGCAGAGTAATATATCAAATTACTCTGCGCAACCTGAGCTACGCTGCAGTCGCACAACTGTAATCTCGAAGCTTCAGGAAAAATTTGAATGAATGCTGCAAAAGACAAAAATTCCGGCTGGATCAATGGTGCCCGAGTTCCTGAGTTCACTGGCATGCGTGTCAGATTGTGATTGGATAAAACAAACAGGCTACTTATTTGAAGTGCACAGTGTCTAAGCCGCAACAGAAAATGATGTAGTTCTAGCGTAGTTCTCAATGCTTACATTTTCACCCCCCTGAAACACAAACAGATACCGAACTCTTTTGTTTTACTGTTGCTGCGTCTCTGTATTAACATCACCTAAGATTGCCAAACTAATGGTTTTGCCTTTGCAAAAAAAACCCTGTTTAATATCTGACGACAGCTGTGATTATTAAAGTAGAGTTACTTTTCAAGTTGTTCTTCTCTCATTGTCTCATAAGAATGATTCTTCTATGCAGGTCTTCCTCTTTCTAAGTGCTGAAAACAGATTATCAGCATATGTGACCTATAGCTTTTCGAAGTGGAGTTCTATAATTTATATGTACGTATAAAGATCAAGGTCGGGTCATGCATTTTTCCTTTTCACTTATGAGGTAGTTAACATAAATGTGTCTAACTGAATGCATTAGCCTTCAATAAAACTGCATGATTTTCATACAGTGTGTATAATGTACGTTTTATAATACAATTGATATAAACATGGCTCTCTATGTTTAGCTCATGAAAATAATGGATGTATTCCAAAGTGTGACTTCTGATGCTTATAACATTTCACCAGAGTCCTACTGATTATTGACAATAAAGACACCAAAAAGTTAAACTCAATCTAAAAAAGTACTGCTACTGCTATTACTATTATCAATCAATCAATCAACGTTTATTTGTAGAGCGCCTTTCCTACACAAGGCAACGCAAAGCGCTTCACATCCCCTATCACATCATGCATAAATCAAACACATTAAGAGCACAAGATATATTAAAAACATTAAAAATAAAATCACAAAAATTAAAAACCTTTAAACATTAAAATCACAGATGGGACTAAAATCATAAATAGTCACAGTGCATTAAAAAGATTAAAGATAAAAACAAAGATGAAAAGATAAAATCATTCAGTTGTATATGCGCAGCTAAACAGAATTGTTTTGAGCCTAGATTTAAAAGATGCCAGAGTAGACGCCTGTCTCACATTCTCAGGAAGACTGTTCCAGACTCTAGCCGCATGAATCTGAAATGCAGTTTGCCCATGTCTAGTACCGACTCTGGGCACTAACAGGAGTCCAGTCCCTGTGCTCCTCAGAGTCCGGGTCGGTTCATATGGCACAAACATGTCATGGATGTACCTTGGCGCGAGACCATGGAGAGACTTGTACACAAGTAAAGCTGCTTTGAAGTCTATTCTCTGAGGAACAGGAAGCCAGTGCAGAGACCTGAGAACTGGACTAATGTGGTCGTACTTCCTAGTTCTGGTCAGGACTCGAGCTGCTGCATGTTGAATGTACTGCAGCTGTTTTACAGCCTGTTTGGACAGACCTGTGAGCAGGCCATTGCAATAGTCTAACCGACTGGAGACAAAAGCGTGTATAAGAGTCTCCAAGTCTGCCTTAGACACTATGTTTTTAATTTTAGCAATGTTTTTTAGGTGGTAATAAGCTGCTGATGTTACAGATTTTATGTGGCTTTTGAAATTTAAGTCTGAGTCCATTATCACTCCTAGATTTCTGACCTGATTTGAGGGTTGTAGAGAGAGAGCCTGGAGGTGACAAATAACGCTCTCTCTTTGTTTCTGGGGTCCGAAAACAATTATTTCAGTTTTGTCGGTGTTTAGTTGGAGAAAGTTATTTTGCATCCAATCACCGATTTGCTGGACACAGTGAAGGAGCGAGTCCACTGGTTCATGCTCTCCTGCTGTCAGGGACACATAGACCTGAGTATCGTCAGCGTAATTGTGATAAGAGACATTATTACTGTGAATCAACTGACCTAGAGGCAACATGTAAATATTAAACAGAAGAGGACCCAGGATTGACCCCTGTGGCACTCCGCAGGTCAGGGCCAAGTGGTCTGAGGTACAGTTTTCGATCTCCACAAAAAACTTTCTGTCTTGTAAAATAGGACCTAAACCAGCTTAGGGCGGTGCCAGCAACACCAACCCAGTCCTCAAGTCTCTGAATGAGGATGCCATGATCAATAGTGTCAAAAGCAGCACTTAAATCTAACAGAAAAAGGACTGAGACTTTTCCTGCGTCAGTGTTTAGTTTGATGTCATTTGTTACCTTTATTAGCGCGGTCTCAGTGCTGTGGTGGGGTCTAAACCCTGACTGGAACATATCATAAGCGTTATTGATTATTAAAAATTCTGTAAGTTGTTTATAGGCAACTTTTTCTAGAATTTTTCCCATGAAAGGCAGATTTGAAATGGGCCGATAATTTTTGAGTGCCAGGGCTTCCAGACTCCTCTTTTTTAGGAGGGGCCTGATGACCTACTTAGTATTACTACTAATACTACCACTACTACTACTATTACTACTGCTACTGACAGTGCTGCTACTACTGCTACTACTACTAGTGGTGCTATTACTACTACTGCTAGTACTACCACTGCTACTCTTACTACGACTACACACACATAAAAGGATTGCATTTTTAATCTTCCTATTCTGCAGATTTTTAAACTCAAAAACACGACATCTTTACCAGGCCATATAAAATGTTATTTACTAATTGGGCAGTTACAATAATGATACCAATTTTAAAATACATTGCTAATTGCCATAAGTTCATGTTTTGTTTCTTCTCAAAGAATCACCAGTTTGTACGAATGCAGTTGTAAAAATCATAGTTTGGAGACATGGGGAGACTTTCATTGTTTCACATCAAATCTGGGCTTGGAAAGTGTTTAGTCGAGCCTTTGACAATCTTTCCCTCTCTTTTAGAGTATCGAACGGTTGGGCTAATGATGACTCGAAGGACTTGGTTATGAGTCCGTGTGCCGACCCATCCAGTGACGGACGAAATTAAACATCAAACTGGAGAAACAAAAACAGCCCTCTCTAATTGGACCTCTTAACCACTGAAACCAAGCGAGCCTGCTTCGGAAAGTAAATGGGGGTCACGACACGGGGCACGCAACACGACTTGAACTGCACAGCTGAGAAACATGTCCAATAAGTTGTGGGAGAAAGCGCCTTAGGGAGGAGAGGGAAAGGTCAGCATTTTAGCAAGGGGTAGAGAATTCTAAATGCCAGTTGACAAGCAAGGAGGCAACTTGATTACAGTGCTCCTCCGTCATGCATGCTATTCTATTGTGCTATTGACAAATGCTATTATGCCGAAACTTCACTTTTTTATCAAGTATTGGAACCCAGGAGTTATGGAAAAGTTGTTTTGTAGCTGCTTAGTCAATCTGTTTTCAGCCTTAAGTGCATTACCAAATTATAGACCAGTTGTGCTGTATAATTAATTAAAACTCTCCTGCAGTTATGTCTCCAAGGAGTCTCCACGACACATAGTTTGAAACACAGCTACTACCATTTTTTGAAAACACTTTGCCCACGAGGGTCGTCGACCAGCGCTGGTGGTATTTTAGACAGTGAATCATGCTTGACACTTCTCTCAAAGAAATTCTGGTGAGAGTTGCTCAAATACCCTACAAACTTGTACATTTTGTTTTTGGTGTGAGGTCCCGCTGGTCATGGTACAATTCGGAAAGCTCATATCATCATGCAGACCAAACAAACAGTTCATTCAGGGAGAGTCCCAAGCTGTTTGAATGTTTGCACTCATCGTCTGGATCGGTGGGAGGCTTTGGGTTGCTGGGTGAGTTATGGTCATCCATATTAATTGGCTGTTTAATGGAGCCAACAGCCTCCACTGACATAGCTGCTAGGTGCCACGGAGGAAGCTTGCAATTTCCATGTCAAACTGGGGGACAAGACTGTAGCTCAGGAATTACTCCCTCTGAAGCTTCTCGGAGGAGACATATTGAAAAAGCAGGAAAACATCCCAGCAAACAATTCATGTTTGTCACCTAGTTCTCGCTCACAGGGTACGCTTTTCTTATCGGCTGCTTGCAGTTTTCACACAATTTTTCGTATTGTTTTTCTCGTGGACCCTGGAGGCTGAGCAGGATGGCCTGAGCGCTGGTTTCTAAAGCTACACTGGCTCCATAGCACACTATTAGAGTTTGACTCTAACCCTGAGCTGCATGTGCTGCTCTTCCTGATGGACATAGAGCAGTGCAGACGTGGGAGGACTTCCATGGAGCATGGCCGCGGCCAAAGTCAAATGTGAGGATGTTCGTCTGTGGGGCATTGCAGAGGTCAAGTTCAGTATCTCTTTGATATTTATATTCATTGTTTCTTTTAGAAGACACCGGGTTATGTCAGCCATCTTTATGCAGTAATGTCCAGACAACTATTTAATTTGTGTAGATGTGACACCACACATCTGTGTTTCACATCTCCACAAAGAAATTGTTTTGTTGTAAATAGTTCACACTTCGGTCCAAAGATAACCACACTCCATGATCAAACTTGTAAATCATTGTGAGATTCAAATATTTTTAAACATGTGATGACGACACAAAAACTTAACCTAAGCATTCAATCTGGACCAGTGAATTAAATCAATTGGCCTAAAAAGTACAGAAAAAGTCAGAAAAGCCTCAAACATATGGTGCTGCGTTGGCAATTAGCATGTGTCTGGGCAGATCAGAAACCAAAATGAGAGAAATAAAATAAAACATCTGTTTTGAACATAACATCTTGTGTCTTCTTAAAAGTAAAACTGCCTTTTTTGAGTTTTACTTTGGACTCACAATTGGCTTATTCTGTATTTTAGATGCAAACGGAAAATACTTTTCTCACTCTACAATGGGAAATGTAAATGAGCGCATGCTTGCAGTGGAGAGGGATTTTCTCTTTGAACATACGGCCCACTCAGTTGAATTGCACTATGGCACTGAAAAAAGGGAATTTTGATTGATTGATTTTTTTTTCTCCTGCTAGAGTTCACATACAAGAACAACAGCTAGAATAAAGCTATAATGGAAAACTGAAAACGGAGAGTACATTTCTTAGAAAAAGGGTGCTGGAGATGCAGTGAAAGGTAGACCATTACGGTCTACCTTTCACTGCATCTCCAGCACCCTTTTCCTTTAGGCTATTTGGATAAAGCCTTTGGAGGAGATTATTAAATATTAATATTTAAGGCTGAAGACTGACAGCAAACACTATTTGATGTGAGCCACAAAGCAGCCACGGGCCTGTGGACAGCCTTTAGATGCTTTCATACACACTTGGTTTATTCTGCAGAGAGAGGCGGGTGGAGATAGGATAAGATGGACGGGCTGTGGATTTATGCTCAATTCTGTTATCTCTCTGTTTGCACCGAGCGAGCGACCTCAAACCTAAAAGGAGACGTACCAGAGTGTCCTCGGCCTCCATCTCTGTCACCTGCGGGAGGCTCCTGGTTTGGGTCCTGATGTAGCACCTCTGATGCTTGGCAAACCGGATCCCTGTAATTCCCTTTGATAAAAAAAGACAAGAGAATGAATTAGTCTAGATCTCAAACCTCTGTATGTTTGACTTGAATTGAATGTAGGCTTTAAGGCCTACATTCAATTCAAGTCAAACATACAGAGGTTACAGAAGCTATACCCGATTTATATTCTAATGAGTTCATTAAAAAGCGTATTACTACATACAAGTTGTATTAAAAACCGGAATTTAATTGAAATCTTGAGCTAATTGATTCAGCTTGTGTATAAATTCAGGTTGTAAAAAGAAGAAACTTAGAGTGACACTCGCTCTCCTCCAATCACAGAACGAGGAGTGGCGCTGTTACGAACAGGCTACCTCCTCTAGCGTCTGCAGCACAAATAAACACAGCAGCATGTTAGCAGAAAGTGGCTCTAGCTTCTCTTGCTGTACAGTAACTGCAGACCCAGCAAAACAGCCCAAACGACGCAACAATGAGGAAGAGAAGAGGAGCTAAAGAAAAAATAAAAGATCAAAGAAGAAATCAAGCCCGGGTGAATATACGTAGCGTTAGCTTAAATCGTATCCTTGCTGGAGAGACATGCGGGAGCGGGAACGCCTCTGACTACATTTGGACGCAAAACTAGCGGTAATCTTTCAGTTATATATTTTGTTAGCGGTGCGTTGCTTTTGTACCATTTCATCAGTGATTGCGCTCATGCTAATGTTTGCATACGTATCAGATCGCAATTAAAACTAGACGGCTTCTTGGCAGGAGAGCGTAGGGGAAATGTGAAGCTCGTGAGCGAGTTGCGGGGCGGTGCAAAACATTCAAACTAAAAAAAAACCTTGCAGAAACGGGTATAGCTCTTTGAACTATGTCTTAACGAAGAAATACTATGCAGTATTTTTATCCTGTAAACATGATAATGAGAATACTGGTATTTAATTTGTAATTTTATGTTTTAGAATGTGAAATATTTCAGTGGCCTGTAGTCTATGTCTGTGCACTTCAGATGATACCAGTAGGCGTATAAGAGATCCTCTTATTAGTTAAGTGAACAATATCTGTACTAATTAAAATAAAACAAGAACTCTAATCTAATACTCTTTTATACTTGCCTCAAATAGCAAGTATAAAATCTCTATCTTGAAAATAATAATAAAAGAGGTGTAAAAGTTTTACATTTGGCAAAATAAGAGTCAAGTATAAAGTACTGTGTATTCTAGTGCAAGCAAAGTGTAGTTATTTGTTAGCATCTGTATATATACTGATGCTACAGTATATTGATGTCATTTTAATCACAGTATCCAACTATAAATGGCCAACTGTCACCCTGGCAAACCAGCATACAACTTAAACACCGGGTGGCACGGTGGCTGAGTGGATAGCCCTCTCGCCCCTCAGCAAGAAGGTCCTGGGTTCGAATCCTGGTCAGACCAGGGTCTTTCTGAGTGGAGTTTGCATGTTCTCCCTGTGTCCGCGTAGGTTTCCTCCGAGTACTCCGGTTTCCCCTACCACTAAAGACATGCACAATAGGTCTGGAATGCGCCTCCTGTACTGGCGACCCTGCTCCCATCTCTGTGTGGAGTGAGAGGACAAGTGCCCAAAAAAACACACAGACTCTGGTCTGTGAAAGGTGGTATATAAATAAAGATTACTTACTTAAATTCACTACTTGCACATTACCCATAATGCTTTGAGGCATGGAAGGTGGCGAGCATATGGCTGTATACAGTCGGATAGAGTCATCACTGGTGTGGATCATTGGACTTTCTGCCACCATCAAAATGCTCAAAGCATAAAAAGGTGCTGTCAGTGAAGTTTTTCCTTATTATAATTCCCTGTGGATCTTTTGTTATTATTAAAATAGTAATTCTGGATTGTCCAGACCTCAAACCTCTGTATGTTTGACTTTAATTTAATTTAACTATATCTTAAAGAAGAAATAGTATGCAGTATTTTTATCCATTAAACACAATGATGAGGATTCTGTGTCATTTTATGTTTTAAAATGTGAAATTATAAAAATACACGCTGGGTCAAGTATGAAGGGTAAACAAATGATTTTTTCCCGTAACTTTCCATGCTCCCACCAGAACTGGGAGTTCATTATTGTTTGTTTTTTTCCAAATTAAAAAATTGCGGCAAACACAGCCTTGCAATTGTAAAGAATAGAATTCACTTAAGACAATTCCTAAACTAATTTAGAGGCAATAGTTTTGTTATAAAATGATGTCATTGTGGTACAATTACATCATACTGAGACAGGGGCTTTTGGAAAGAAGGGTCGTAGTTCATGCCATAAGTTCCTGGATCTAAAAACCTCTCTGGGTTTGTCTTTGATGAGGGAGTAATGTGTGTAATATGGTTAAAATCTCTTTTGTAAGTTAGTATATAACTAAAGTGCATTTATGTAGCGCACCCAAAGCACTTTACAATCGTTGTTGAGTTCAGATATTTATTCATGTCTACTTTAAAACTTTTCATTCATATTATAATTTTAATCCATCTAATTCCATGCACCACTAGCAGAAGCTTGCGTACTACCATCTACTACAGTATGAGAAATACTTGTTTAATCAATTGGGTTGAAGAATTACTTACAAAGTGCCATTATACTGCCCTGAGACAATGATACTGAAATTGTACTTTATACAATTGCTTTAGTCAGAAAGAAATCAGACACATTTAGACATAGTTGCATATTGAGTTTGATTTGAATCAGCCGTAGTTTTTCTTCTCTGCAGAAATATGGCAACAATAAAAACAATGACAAAAAGATTCCAGACAGAACATTTTAGCGGGGAATCCTTTGACAATGTTGAGGATGAATGGAGAAAGGATCTTTTTCTACAGCGAGTGCCCATATTGAATTAGTCACAGGCCTCTGTCGCTCCTCTTAATCTGCGCAGTCAAGTGTGGCATAGTTTCTTCAGCTCCACTCCACCATCCGAATTGTACAGTCTTTCAATTTTTCGACAACCTTGGTTCAAGCAAGAAAGATCTTTTAATTCTCCTCCCCGGTGCCATTCTCTGTTAATCTAAGAAAGTCAGCCGGAATAAGCCTCAAAGACTAGATCAAATCGTATCCAATTTATTTTTCCCGTGGAGGAGATTCTCATTCAGCATGCTGTATTACAACAGACACAAGAAAATCTACATTTGACATGGCTCACGTTAAAATCTTATTGACAGGCATGAAAATGGATGACTCTAGTAGGATTTAATTATAGGAAAAGTTTGGTGATGTGTTTTTCAGCAATGCTAAGATAAAATAGTTTTATTTTTCTTATCGACAATTGCACCATTGTGATATCCAGCACTATTCATTAGCACTCAAAAACACAGTGGGTCTGTAGTGATCTGGCACATGCAGCCTTGGCCTTATTGTAACGCAGTCCACTTTGTGATGAGATTCAATGACTTGGTTTAGTCACGCGGAAAATGAGGAAAGACACGTTAATAATTGGATGACAAATGTGTAAATGTGTTACCATTTTGAGAGATTTGTTTTAATAGCCTGTCTTCTGGCCACAATGAAGTAGGCTATGTCCGTGCACTTCAGACAATACCACAGTAGGTGTATATATACCAATGCTATATTGATGTCATTTTAAGAGAATCACAGTGTCCAACTATAACTGTCAGCCTGGAAACCAGCATACAATTTAAATTTACTACTTGTACATTACCCATAATGCTTTGAGGCATGGAGGGTAGCGAGCATACAGCTGTCTACAGTCGGATGGATTCATCAATGCTGTGGATCATTGGACTTTCTGCCACCATCAAAGTGCTCAAACCATAAAGGTGTGCTGTCAGTGAAGTTCTTTCTTACTGTAATTCCCTGTAGATCTTTTGTTATTATTAAAATAGTAGTTCTGAATTGTTTGGATTGTTGGAGCAATAAAGAGCAAAGCACATATAGCTCACTCTTTGCAGCTACCCCCTAACTTGTGGTATAGCACAAGTGGTAAATATGTAATGTTTCTTTTGTAATCCACACTATAGTCATACAGTTCTTCCATCCATCCATCCATCTATTTTCTTCCCCTTCCCCATTAATTTCTTGGTCAGGGGGGTGGTAGTCAGGGCTGCAGCCAATTCACAGAGCACCAGCCCCTCACTGATCCTCCTGCAGGCTGTGAGTCCACAAGAGGATGGCTGCTCTGTCTGTGAGAGCACAGCCTTGATCTTTCAGTGGGGGCTTCAGGCAAAGTCAGGTTAAGGGTCTTGTCCAAGGACACAACAACAGCAGACATCAGTGGGAATCGTGAAGTAGGTCTCGTGGTGGGCTCGAACCCACCCTGTCGCCCCTCTTCCTAACTCACTCAGTGATTGTTTAGTTTGCCTGTAGATGAAGGCATGGTCTTTTTGAGCCGGTAGTCTGCCACTGATCTGGCACAAACTAAATGCATTAAGGTGAACACAGATGCTACTGGTGAACAGAGTTTTAAAGGGTTAAAAATAGACAAAGGTCTCATTTTAGTCCATTTGATTTCAGAAAATGAAACAATTGTTGACTGATTTACTCAATTTCTCTTCACTTAAGTGGTGTGTATCAGTATTACTTTCTGGCCAAACTAGGCTTAACAGCTCCATTCGAAGCATACCTAGATACCCACACAGACATTCTGTGTGTTTTGAATATTTGAGGCTTGTCCCCTGAATAAGTTTAGTTGAAACTTGTGACATAGTAGTTGGACTGCGCTTGGAGCGGGTCAGAACATCCCGCTGCCTCGTTCTCATTACTGTGGATGTGAAGAAAGTTTCGTATTGTTTACGTGTGCACATGTTGTGTGCAAATACAGCAATATTGTTTTTACCCTGCATTTTGGTGCGTGCGGTTTGTGATGTTATGACACCGGTTTCTAGATTTTTGCATTATTCTTGTTCGGGTATATCTTTGATACAACTGTGATACCCCATGATCCCTTTTTCAAACTTGTCAGGGCACAGGAGAAGCAGCAATATTAGTAGCAAAAACGCAATTTTTGCTTTTTGTCCCTTAGAAATCAATGTATTTTAAGGTGGCGCATTTAAATGGAGAATCCTCCAGCTCTCATGGACATTTATAATTCAATCTCTAAACCTATGACAACAATTCAAGAACAAGGTTGGAGGTAAATATGTTTTAAAAGGGTCACATCTGTTATTGGTAAAAATGGTTTTTAATGTTTTTTTTAGAGCAACTGTAAAAATTACATAGAGTACCTTTAAAGTCCTTGACACAGACTACAAGTAACTTTACAAGTAATTGGCATTCAATAACGCCGCTCTTTCTCATTAAGTCTATCAAATGGATTATTGCTATTATACTGCATATGTACAGTATGTAGCATTTTGCTTCTGTAATGGTAAATACTAAACAATTATATTTGTCATGTTACTTTCATACAACAATGTCTCAAGTGGTTTTGTGCCCATGTATTTTCTCTCCTCTTTGCTTTTCAAAATGAGTCCAGTTTTTCGGCTGTGACAATGGGTAAGTGGATTTACCCTCAGCTTCAGTCCTGGTGGTATAATCCCCTCAGTTTCCATTCCTCGCACTGCCTCGAGGCGCTTTGCTGATTGTTTTAACGGTAGTTTGTTCTGTGCCGAACATGCAAGATTTTTTTTCTCGTGTTTTTCCATTAAACAACAGCCGCAATTTAGTCCAACCCAATCCAACATTTTGTAAAGCTTTTGGCCCGTTTCTATTCTTACTCTGTTTTGCCTCCTATTTCTTGCCTTGGGAGAAAACAAGAAGTTGAACCAGCGACAGGCTTTATTTATTTAAGTGAATAAAAGGCACAATGTTGTGGTACAACCAAGAGATTGATTGCAGAGGTCAACATTCTGGCGGTGCACTCTGTTTACATCATACAGCCATTTTCCAAGATGCCCATTGTCGGGTAAAAACAATCACAAGTCGATGCATCTTTTCGGGATGAGCTTTATCCTGTAACGTTCAGCCTTGAGACCCAAACATTTCACAGTAAATAATGGTGTGAAAGAAGAGCATTCATTATAGTCCGGTTTTGTTTGCAGAGGTGCAGCGCGTGTAACCTCGCACACAGTCAAGCGGGATTTAGGAATGAAAGGTAAAGTAATCTGCAGCAGGAGACGGAACAGCAGTTGTGAAAAGACACAGGAAACAAAGAGAGATTGAGGGACTAATGGTGTTTGTCTTAAGTCTGGATTTTTTTTTTGAAATGGGATCGGAAAAAAAGTATATATTTGTGTTATTGACTTGTAATTCCTGTTTGTTTGCTGGTTGACATGTGTGCCTGGTGGTGAACAAAAGAATAGGTTCCAAATTGGTCATATCTAGGACATTTTTGGAATATCAAAAACCAAACACCACAGCAAGAGTTGTTTTTAAATCCATCCACAACAGTATCAGAAACTTCAAGGTGGAAGTGGTGTGAAAGGTTTGATTCTACAAACACGGTATCATTCTAAAGGTTATTATGACAGCTGTACCATAACATAAAATATAGCCAATAGCCTATTTTTTTTATTACATACACAATACAATACAGTACAATTTATTCTTGTATAGCCCACACAACAGTAGTCATCTCATAGCACTTAACAAAACCATTGAATCACCAACACAGATCAGAGAATCAACAGTTAAGACACAAAAAGAATATAGAAAACATGTTGATAAATGGTGTCGAATGTTAAAGTGTCCTGGATCATCACCACAGTCCTTTTGGTTAGACACTAACTGTCCAACAGACCCTCCTGCATCGGCAAGGAAAACAAAAAAAAACCCAGTGGGAAAAAAGTGAGAAACCTTGGGGAGATCCACACATTGAGAGTGGGATCCACTCCACATGGACGGACGGGCTATAGATCCAGGACCTAAGCTACAGAACGTGGACAGGTCCGATGCAGGACTGAAGCAGCTCCCAGGTGGGTCGGGAACTGTTTGTTTGGTACCTACACCCAAACAAACAAACAAACACACACACAGACCTTTGTGAGTCTGTTTGTTTGTTTATCTGTATGTATGTGTTGTGTTTGTAACTCATACTAGATAGCTAGATACAGTTAAGGAATGGAACTGCGCATCGAGGAAGAGGTCTGCACTCTACGGGTAATTTTCGGGTTGAATATTAAACCAGATTCTCATGTACAATGACTACCTGTCTCCTAACCAAACACAGGAAAGAACACACATAGTACAAATGTAAGTAATTCATGAAATATTACCAACAGTCCACACATCATTCATATATAAATGTACAGTATAACCACTTTATTCTAAAGTAGGTCTTTACATATGCACAGAGTAACAAGTGAACATTGTTTCAAAGTCTCTTGTGAATGGTTCCAGTCAATTGCTGCGTAAAAATGAAATAACGATTCCCCAAAGCTTGTGTATGTTTTAGGGACCACAAGGCTGATGGAGTTATTGGAACAGAGTATGACTGGACCTGCGTTTGACCGATTAAGGACCTGTGAATAAGCCTTAATCAATGAGTTTGTGCGGATGTGAAGGGAAGGCAATCACTAAGGAGTAAAGTTTGCAATGATGAGTACACTCTACACAAGATCAAGATTCAAGATTTGTTTAATACACATTGAATAGCTGAGCGATTAATAACATCAAGCTCATGAATCATTTATTATGCCAATCAATACAAAACAAAATCCTTGTTGTCCAAGACCAAAAGGATCTTGACCAGTAGCTCTTTTGCAAAGTGAGTAACAGTAGTTTTGCGGCAGTACGAAATTATTTCCTTGACTTTACCTTTAAAGCTGACTATTAATGTGCATGTCAAAATTCTATGTGAGGTCAAGCTATGCCTAAATACTTAATGCCCGACTTACTGAATCTCTGGAACATCCAGGGATATAATTCTGTTGCTTCTGTCAGAATGAGGGAGGCTTCTGGTGAAAGCATACATTTAGTAGTGTTTGTGGAACAGAGTAAAACTGTTTGGGCGCGTGGAAGAAACAGTATGGATCGAGAGCATAAAGGCTAGTCTGGATGTCTAGATTTTTGGATTGTGGTATGGTCTGAAAAATGTTATTCATAGCGATACCAAATAGCGTAGGGCCAAGAATGGATCCTTGAGGAAGACCCTTTTGAAGGGGTAAAAGTTATGCACTCACTGATTGTATACGCCCGGAGAAGTAACCTTTAAATCATGCTACATCGCTTTCTGAAACACCTGTCTCTCCTAATCTACCAAATATGTTGATCCACAGTCAAAAGCTTTGGATAGGTAAACAGAAACAGCCATAGAGTAGTCCTTAATATTGATGGAGCAAATAGCCTTGTTGTCTGAAGCCTTGTTTAATCTTTACTTACATGTTTGAAGTCGTGCACCTCAATGACTTCTTCGCTGCCGTTGCCCATTCGGAAGATTTCAATGCGCTTGCCCGAGTCAATCTCCATCACGCTGTCAGTCTCCACCCCGTCCACCACGGCTTTGTACTGCTGGTCATACACCTGTGGAGAAAGAGCACACCCGCTGTGACTGTACAGCTAGCACTCTATGCGCCAAGCTGTCAGACTTAAGAATAGGAAAAAGGTTTCTCAAAACATCCGATTCCAGCTATGAAGGCTATGGACTGTTGCACAACAAAACTTGAATTGATTCTGCCCCGACTCAGTCAGTTGCTCGAATTCCACATACTGTAGAATAGTTGCTGCAGTTTAGCAAGGTTTATGATAAGCCTTATCCGTCTTCATCTGGGTACAGAAGTCGTTACCAGTGGTTGTCTGGGAATAGTTGAAAGAACAGAAAGTTATAATGAAATCCTCTTGAATGAATGGGTATGAATGAAAACATTAGGCAAGACAACAAAAAATATTTTAAGAGAAAACGATCTCAAATGACCTCTTTTACCCGCCTCAACTTTTGACCACAGTCATTCTGACGGTAGGAAAGACATTCTTCAAAAGCTTCAGTAAAGGCAAATAGAAAAAAGTGCATTTCTAGAAAAACAAATAGACTGAAATTCTACCAGTACCATCAGAACAGATCGAGCTCAAGCACCCACTTCAATCATGTGTCTTCTTTAAGAAATTCGTTTTTCTGGTCCACTGATTAAATATTTTCTCAGCGGGGATACTTGATGGTTTATGCAGTTTCATTGATTCAAGCCTCAGGGACAACTGACTACGGCAACATTTCTGTATCAAATCAGTCTTCATACTGAACACAGCGCTTCAAACTACTCTTGTTGCCGTATCATTGACAGCAAATTGCATGTGCAGTTAATATTTAGTTATGAGTGCTTATGAAAAACTATAACATATGAGTGCTGTGATACAAGTTGAATGAAGATCACTGTCCTCCTCCTTCTCATTGTTGCCTTTAAGCTGTGTTGTTTATCACCACCACTTGCTTATGTACTGCTCTGGACACGCATGGATAACTCTTAAAATTCCCCGGCTGAAAAATGATTCATGCCTACCAGCTGAAAATATGCTATTAATATTTATGTGCGGCTTGTGTTATGATGAGAAATATATTGCTGAGTTCATCTTCATCTGTCTCAGTGGCAAATCGGAGCTCGGCCAATGAGATGCGTGATTAATGAAAGACCCGGGGACCGAGTCTGTCAGGGTATATTCTCCTCATCACAGACATTGGATTGATGCTGCAACCACAGAAAGCCTTGATGAAATCCACACTTATGTTTTATTGTGAATATTTTAGGATATATGATGAATTATTTTTCTGCTTGAGCATAGAAAATATTAGGGACTGTATGTAATAATGCATATTGATTGCCCTACAGTAGCTCTTTGGTTATTGGAATGAAAGGCATGCTGTGTCAAAAAGAAAGAAAGAAAAACAAAAACAGCAACCACGCAAAACATTTAAAAAGGTCTTCCAGTCTCCTCACACAATCCAACACATGCTCATGCACAATTGTTGACTTATGGTGTTTTCAGACGGATCATGCGTTGCCTCGGCTTTCAATGCAAAGTGAATGGTGACGCGCATTCGAGCGTCAAAACGCACGAGCATCTCGGAATGCACTCACGCCGCGAGTGGTCCCGCCCACAAGAAAATTGTGAAAAAACGCATCTGCGCATGCGTCAGCTGGCGAGAGCTCAATTCATTTGAACAAGAGACTTCAAAAATTCACAGCGAGTAAAATAGACTGGTCCAAAAAAATTCACTCCCCTCAGCCATGGGGGGGGGGGAGCTTTGGGCCAAGAGCCAACTTTTGGACCATCCTGTAAAGATGTTTTTGAGAGGTAAGAAGATGCTATATGTTAGCATTGGCTAATTCTACTTCTGGGTCCACCCCCATCGGCCCGGGGTGGTATTGCAAGCATGTCAGCGCACGTCATTTTGGCCACTTTTGAGCCGGGACCTGCCCCCACTGATCTGTACACAAAAAGCCGCTAGCTAAACTCTGTTTAGCATCAGAACCCGCCGGCTAGCTACTTCCGGAGCTTGCCAGGATCTCTGTGTCTGAAAACTAGAGAACGTGCGTTTCAGCGTTCCATCCATGTACTGTATAGTTAGATAAAAATAATATAACATGTTATGAAAATGGTTTTCAATTAATATTATACATTTTTATGAGATTTTAAGTGCTTCTTTGGATGTGTCCTTTAGGTGCTCTTCAGTGTCAAAATGCAAAAAACATTGAATGACTGAGGTGAAAAAAAAACATTATTAAAAGCCTTTATTATCACACAAAAACGTTATCTCCCTCAATGTCGGGGAGAGCATGCGCTCATCCTGATGTGTTGTTGTCATGTGCCACTACTATTTGTGCATTTGCAGTGTTGTTGGAAATAACATAAAAATATCTAAAACACTACATGATAAATCTGTTCATAATCTCTTCACTGGCCCTGATTTCACCCATTTTCTAACTTTAGTTAAGAAGACCTCTCTGTGAACTTTTAGAAATATCTCATTCTTATTCTCACTACAATTAAAAGGCAAATAGCTGCTAATTGAAGATCAGCAATAGAGTGGCACTGTAGCTTACACTTGTATTAAAACTGGCTTGTTTCCAAAAAGGCAGCCCCATCTCAGAAAGACGCTGGATGAAAATAGTCTGGAAATCCAAGTGCCAATTGAGCAGTTACGGATAAAATTGGTGCGATTAACCAGTCTGAGTGGCAGTGTGGTGAAATTAAACTTTTCTTTGATCATTTTTTGTAGATTAACATGAAGGTGGAAAAGGGGAACAGAAAGTGTAGCGTTATTGATTTATACTAAAACAGCGAATTACATTTTCAGCAGGCCATCACTTTAGATGAAACTCCAGCGGTGAGAATCTCTCTGCCGCACCACGTTGAAATAGATAATAATGTAATACAACTGCTTGACTCAAACTGGTTCAATATCCAAAGCTGCTGCTGTGCATCGTAATTGGCAAGCCGGAAATAGAAATTAATAGCTCCTATGTAATACTTATAGACACACGGTTATTTTTACAACACAGTAATTTGCTCCACTGAAGAAGATTGAATGTTCTATTTGTTATACTGTTGTGTTCCAAATAAGTTTAAGTGCACTTGTTTGTCATAATCATATTCCTCGTTTAACTAGTTTTTTTTCCAGAATTGTCAATTTGGCCGTGGAAGTGTGAAAGTTAATTAGCCTCCCATATGGCACATAACAGGCAGATAAAAGACCAGTGCGCGCACAAAACTCCAATTTATGTCACAGAGAAAGGTGGCCGCATTGAAGCTATTAAAGTAAACGTGACATATGTTTGAAGTGAAAATATATTTGGGTTAAAAATAACTCCTATCAAATCCATTGTTTTAATAGATAGGGAAAAAAAGATGTTTGCTTATAAGAGGTTTTATGTCGCAGACAATTCTACACTGACAGCAAGATTAAATGAAAATGTGTTTACAAAGTAACCAAACAACCTAATGCTCAGGTCCGTGAGCAAACGGTGGTTCTCTTGCAATCTGACGTCTCCGGCCCAGACGCGCTGCAGAGCTGCATTTTGTGTCGAAGAACTTCATGTAAGTCCATGAAAAGCTGATAGCTCAAACCTCATCCATTCCATTCCATTCCATTTTCTTCCGCTTCATCCGTTGCCGGGTCGCGGGGGCAGCAGTCTAAGCAGAGACGCCCAGACTTCCCTATCCACACACACTCCTTCCAGCTCGTCCGGGGGAACCCCAAGGCGTTCCCAGGCCAGCTGAGAGGCATTGTCCCTCCAGCGTGTCCTGGGTCTCGACGTGGAGAAGCAGCGGCTCTACTCTGAGCTCCTCCCGTGTGACTTAGCTCCTCACCCTATCTCTAAGGGAGCGCCCAGCCACTTTCGGTCATGACCTAAACCTCATGACCATAGGTGAGGGAGGGAACGAAGATTGACCGGTAAATTGAGAGCTTTGCCTTTCGGCTCAGCTCCCTCTTCACCACAACGGTCCGATACAGCGACCGCATCACTGCGCACGCTGCACCGATCCGCCTGTCAATCTCACGCTCCATCCTTCCCTCACTCATGAACAACACCCCGAGATACTTGATCTCCTCCACTTGAGGAAGGACCTCTCCACCCACTTGGAGAGGGCAGGGCTCCAAGTGGGGGGAGAGGTCAAAATCCATCCATTCATGCATATTCTTCCGCTTCATCTGTTGCCTGGTTGCCAGGGCAGCAGTCTAAGCAGAAAAGGCCAGACTTCCCTATCCACACACACTTCCTTGGGCTTAGTCCCTCCAGCGTGTCCTGGGTCTTGCCTGGGGTCTCCTCCCAATGGGACGTGTCCGGATCACCTCCCCAGGGAGGCAACCTCAACTGGTTCCTCTCAACATGGAAAAGCAGCGGTTCTACTCTGAGCTCCTCCTGTGTGACCTCTTTACCCTATCTCTAAGGGAGCGCCCAGCCACTCTGCAAAGGAAGCTTATTTTAGTCGCTTGTATCCGCGATCTCGTCCTATTGATCATTACCCAAAGCTCATGACCAGAGGTGAGGGAGGGAAAGAAGATCCACCAGTAAATCGAGAGCTTTGCCTTTTGGCTCAGCTCCCTCTTCACCACAACGGTCAAATACAACGACCGCATCACTGCGCTAGAATCTACACCCAAAGTATAAATATTACACAAACAGTGTATAAATCAGCCTCAGAAGATTTCCAAATGTTGTTCCCAAATGTAGCTGTAACTAAATTTGGGATGCTAGTATTATTCTGTCACATATCTGGAACAAGCGCAATTGGCCCCGTCTTTGTGGAAAAGCGGTTTTTATAAATTCACTTTGTCACTACATGTCTTTTTGAAAGCAGACACAAGGGATGAGGTCACCAGAGAATTAAACTGGGAACTGACTAAGTGATGGTCTTTTACATTTTATATGTCTGAATAGCTCTTTGGTAATTCACGCTTTCAAGTGAATGGGCAGTTTGTGTAAAAGAACATTAGAAAGCAGACAGCAGGACCTCTGGAGATGGCATGGAAGTCTTTTTGATTAGCGAGCATCATTTTCAACTCAGAGCCTGCACTTTACCCCATG